TTGAAATCTTTTATGACTATGTATTTTAAATGATGAATATAATTTTTTTAATTTTATAATAAAAATTACTTAATATAACAATTCCTCACCACTCATTCTTGCCAGAGAATATGACTTATAAAACAATGTTTGTTTCAAAATTTTAAGGTAATATATACCATAGTTCGAACAGACAAGAGACATAAATATATTGTCCAAACCTGTCATTTAAGTTTTATTAGCGTAGCAAAGGACATATAAAAGATGAATTAGAAATAAATTGAAGCAAACTTTAGTAAAAAAACAAAAAATCCTAAACATAAAAAAAGAATAAAAAGAAAAAAATTTAAAAGAGAGTGTGAATTGGAAGATGTTATTAATCATTGATAAATTTACCCATTTTTGAAAAACACATAAAAATAAAAGATATGGTGAAAATAATTAATTTTTGAAAATTTCTTTTGAAAACGGCATTTGAATATTTGAAATTATGTTTAGGTAAAGTTAGTTATGGAACAGACAGTATAAAAAGATTATATGAGAAATAATAAAGAATTAAAAATATCAGAAAAAGACGTTTACATTTAAAAAAAAAACAGAGAATTTTTGGGACAAAATGAAATAAATGACCCTAAAATTTACAAAAATGCAGTTTACAAAAAAATATAAAATTACAACGTTCAAAGATGCCCAGGCTTTTTAGATGCTAAAAAAGGATGATTACAATCATAAAATATAATTGAGTTTTTCGAAAAAAATAAATAAACTTTTTAAAATAAATATGGAAAATTTTTGAAAAATTTTTAAAAATTGAAAAGAGATCCATTTTGATTTGTTTTTAGAACCAAGTTATTGATTTAAAATATTTGTTTTTAAGGTCCAATAAAATATAATTATTATTTTTATATGCACAGAGAGATAATCCATATTTATATTTTAGCCATGATAAATATAATGTCTGTTTAAATTTTTGAACATCTGTTTCAAATGATGAATTTAATTATTATAAAATTATTATTATTATTATTATTTCCTTTTTTTTATTATTATTATTATTTTTTTTTTTCTTTGATTTCTGGCGTTTTACATTTTTTTCCGGGTCCCTTTCCAGGACCTAAGGTTAGAAATGGTATCATATATATATTTCCACTGACAAAAAAAAAAAAAAAAAAATTACATAGATAAAGCCCTTCGTAAAGTGTGGGCTGTACTTTGTCAGAACAATTTTTTGTATCTCATTTGAGGCATGGACTTCCAGGAATCCCTTCAATTAGTCTACTGCAATCTTTTCCAACCAGTCCTAGGGCTCCAACTACAACAGGGATTGTTGATGTTCCCATATGCCACATTTTCGAGATTTCTATTTCAAGGTCCTTGTATTTTGACAGCTTTTTTGAATATCTTCAAAGATACATTGCAGTCAGCAGGGACTGCCATATCAATAAGGAAGGCACTTTTTTTTTTGTTTGTGGTCTTTAATAACAATATCTGGGCGGTTGGCTTTTGATTGTTCTGTCAGTGTGTATTGTGTAGTCCCATAGAATTGTAACAGGTCCTATCTCCTTAACCGGGTCTGGGTGGTGTTCATACCAGTTTCTTTCAGTTTCCTTCCCGTAGAAGTTGCAGATTTCCCAGTGCAGATATTGGCCCACTCTGTCATGTCGGGTTTTATATTCAGTGGGTGCCAACATCGTGCAACCTGATACAAGATGATCAATCGTTTCTGGATATTTATCACAGAATCTGCATTTTTGGGCTAACACAATATTTTAGTGTATGTGCTTGATAATTCCTAGTTAACAAGCGTTGGTCTTGTGCAGCAAGGATAAAACCTTCACTTTCAGCTTTCAACCCTGCACTACGTAGCCACTGATGGGAACGGCTTTTGTCCCCATCAGCTTGTTTGGTACGGGCAGAGTATTGGCCATGAAGCGGTTTATCTTGCCATTGTTTCTGTATCTGGTCGGTTGCATTTGTCTTTTTCTTTTTTTAAAATTATTTTAAAAATTATTATTATTATTATTATTTTATTAAAATTTCTGCGCCCATTTGGCTTATCCGTTTTGATTTTGTTTTTAAATATCTTTTATTACGGAGATTTGTTTTCTTTTCTTCTTTCTTTTTTTTTGACTTTTACCATCATCCTTCTTCTGTAGTTTTCTTCTTTTTATTCCAATTCTTCTTTTTTTAGGATTATTACAAAAATTAATATTATTCATCCTTCGGATTTGGGCATCATACAGACCTCAAAGGTCAGAAATATTATTATTATTATTATTTTCCAAAAAAAGTATTTGAAAAAAAAAAAGACCTTTTTCCAAATACCTATAAATGCAAAAATTATATTTTAGTTTCTTTAGATTATTTGTCACTATTTTGTCAATATTTGTTTTTTAAAATTTAGAGATTTCTTTAATTAAATATATTTGAACCATCATTTATCGAAAAATTATCTTTGAGGATTTATTTGAGAGATGCGTTTGGTAATATTGGGCTTGTGTAAAATGGCATATGTATGGACAGGAACAAAAACTATTTAAACCATAAAATTTTTGTCGAAACTGTCTATTTCCATCAAGGATTTTATTTTCCATTTTAATAATGAAGTTATCAAAAAGTTCTTTCACGCAAGTTAATTTATTTTTTTTTGCTGAAACCGTGAATTCTTATCCACAAATATTTTTTAAAAAAAACCTTTTACATCTAAGGAGCTTCGTATTTCTTGGATTTGTTCAATGATGGAAGTATTCTTCTTCCTATTATTATTATTATTATTATTGAATTATTATTTTTATTATTATTGTCAATTGGGATATTGTCCTCAATCTAAATTACCTGAATTTCATTTTGTTCAATTAACACACTTAAAATAATTGATATTTTTTTATTATTATTATTACTGTTTTTTGAATTGAAGAACTAATTTGTCATTGTCATTTTTTTTATTTGACTTTTCTTTTTTTTTAATCAGAATTTTTAAAAGGTCTTTCATTTTTGCAATTTTAGAAAATTTATTTTTTTTTTAGAAAAATATTTTGAAAGAATTCAAACAAGTCCAGTCAATTAGTTGTGAGTTTTAATTTTAATGTTAAAATTATTTAATGACTGTAACCGATCAATTTGAATTTTATTTCCAATCAATTCATATTGTATTTTGGTTTTTTTTTGAATTTTTTGTTTAACGGCATATCAACCTCAATATAATCCTGATATATTAAAATAAATTGATTTATATATTTTTATATTAGATTCGTATAATAGAATATATATCCTTTGGTTTATATTATTTTTTATTTATTTTGTTTTACGGCATATCAACCTCAATGGGTTATTTAATTGACATCATTTTTAATTTAGATTCGTTTAAATAGAATATTCTGTATTCTTTGGTTTAGATTGGTTTGGTTTATTTTGTTAACGTTTCAAATTTTTGACAATCTTTTTATTTAACATTGACATTTTTTAGGATAGATTTGTATGAATAGAATATGTATTGTTTTTTTTTTAGATTTTGGTTGAAAGGTTTATTCCATAAATCTGTTAGCGTTTGAAATATGTTGAAATGGGTTATTTAATTTTGAATCAAATTTTTTTAGGATAGATTCTTTTATTATAAAAGAATATATTTGCAATTTTGGTTTAGATTTGTTTGAATTTAATGCCGACCGTATTTTTTCAATTATTTGATCCTCAAATTTCAGATACAGATATTGACAAAATCGAAAAAATATTCCAAAAGGCAAATTTGTATCATTATTTTTCTATATCTCTGAGATCATGGTATTATGACGTATTTTTATTAGTTACATTATGGTTCTGGTGTTATAATTTCATCTTCATTGCCATATTCACAAATTTTTAAACGCCAGTATAATTCGATAGATGAGGTTTTTTATGATTAACTTTAACATTTTAAATTTATATTATTCTGCTTTGAAGTATTAAATCTTCATTGCCAAAATTTGAAACGTTTCCGCCTCTCAAGAAAAAAGAAAAATATTATGATTACTTGCAATTGATTTACATAAAATGTTCAGTCATTATATTCATCTTATTGCCATATTCAAAATGTTTCTTCTGTTGAAAATAATTCATTTAAACCCCATGTAATTTCAATTTGTTTTGATGATTTTATATTATAAAAAAACGAAAAATTAAAAATTCACCACATTTGCTAGGTCACAAAATCTCATGAATGAAATGTTTCATATACATGAATTTCATATGGGGAACCAGTAATAAGGATGACTAGAAAAAAATGAATAAAAGATTACGGTCAAAATTGCAAGTTATAAGTTCTGGTAAAAAATATGCAATAAATATAACATAAAAATTGCAATTTGAGAAAACTGGTAAAAACGACTGCAGAGACATTAAGTTTAAAATCCCAAAAAATTCAATACACAGATGTCCTCATTAGGCATCTTTTTTTTTCTTTTTTTTGGATAAAGATGATGGTCAGATCCTGTCAGGAGGGAATAAAAAATTTTATGAGTTAATACCAGGCTATGAGTGAGTAATGAATTAGCAAAAACCTGGAGAGTTCAAAAGGTAAAAAGAAATAACTGAGACATCCAAGAGGCAGAAATAATTGTTAAATTGAATGAAATTCTAAGCTCCCAAAACGAACGAAGTTTCCGATCACCTGAAGAGAGATTTTATGATTCGTATAACGACCGAAACGTTTTGAGTATAAGGGATTGAATATTAGGATAAAGTCCGAATAATATAAACAAGAAAAGCATATTTTTTTAAGTTTCTAAAAAAACGAAGAATTAAAGGAGTTCTTAAAAATCCTTTTTTTTACAGGTTAAAAAAAATTTTTTTTTTTTTTTTTAACGTAAATAACCATGAGAAAAAAAAAAGAAAATTTTATTATACTTAAAGCAACGAATTTGAGATAAAAGTTTTAATTTCCATCTTCTTTATTTTAATTTGGCGAAGCTCAAGAAACAAATCCAATACAAAGCCTCAAAGAAATGTCCTTATCACCACCTAAGATCTTCATATTTTTTTAATGGATGAATATGCGTACGTAAAACATGGATATCATTCAAAAATTAAGGCAATAATCTGTATAAGATGATAAAATAGGGGGGCACGCAATTAAATAGAAAATTTAAACAATATATTAGATAATGGATAATATTCTTAGGATTTATTCTTCAAGGTTGTGTATTCATGCTGATTTTAAAAGTAATAATAACACTTTGAAACAACGCTCTTGTCTTTTCGATATTTAAATAATCCATCTTAAATAAGGAGATTTCAAATTCAAAAGAAAAATTTCATCTTTTTAAATGGAGGATTAAAATTGTTTGAATGAAAAATCTGGACACTTCTTTCAAAGTAAAACATTTTCTGTGAAGACATTTAATGTTTTGAAATTAATGGATCAATTTGTAAGTTTTCGAAGAGTGAATGTATAGCAATTAAAGAACAATAAAAAATGAAACAATACAATAAAAATTTAATAATAATAATAGAACAAGGAGAAGTTATGTTGTACCTAGGTGTAAATGAGAGTGAAGGAATTCACCATAAGAAAATGAAAAAAAATAGTGCGTAAAGAGTACTATAGAAAGGGTACGACTGGTATTAAAAAACTGAATTGAATTCTCAGAACAGAATTATGGCCATTTTAACCTAGCCATCCCAGTGGTCCAATATAGTTTCAACATCTTGAACTGGACTCTAAATGACATCAGACAAATGGATTCTAAAACAAGAAAGCTTCTTTTAAATATAAGATGCATCATCCAAAGGCTGATGTAGACCGTCTATACATACCCCGTAAAGAAGGTGGAAGAGGTCTTATTCAGCTAGAATTGTCATACAAGACAACAACTATTGGCTTACTAACTTACATGGAAACAACAAATGACTGGATGATAAAATTAGTGAAACAACATGAAAACAGAAAGAAAAAAATATTCAATAATAAAAAAGAAGGCAGTAAATACAAACAACATTTACATTTAGTAGATTCTGTAGTAAATCAAAACAGAAGCCAAGAACCAACTATTGCAGCAAAAGATATGAAAAAAAGAAAGCCAAGGATAAAGCCCTTGAACAGATGAAACAACGCTGGCAAGACAAACCTCTGCATGGCCAATATCCAGAACGTGCAAATAAACCCAATGTTGATAAAGTTAATACTCATCGATGGTTACGAGCATCTGGATTAAAGTCTGAAACTGAAGGCTTTATTCTTGCAGCGCAAGACCAGAGTCTTTTCACTAGGAATTTTCAGGCAAATATCATACATAATAATGTGGATCCAAAATGCAGGTTCTGTGACAAATACCAAGAAACAATAGACCATCTAATCTCAGGATGTTCTATACTTGCCCCAAATGAATATAAAAATCGTCACGATAGAGTGGGGCAATACTTACACTGGACAATGTGCAAACACTTTGGAAAATGTGTAAGCAAACACTGGTATGAACATCGGCCAGCGCCGGTTACAGAAATAGAAGATGTCACCATTCTATGGGATTATACCATCCACACAGACAGAAAAATTGAAGCAAATAGGCCGGACATTATTGTCAAAAACCAGAAAGAAAAAACTTGCCTACTAATTGATATGGCTTGTCCAGCGGATTGTAACATAGCAACCAAGGAATTTGAAAAACTATCAAAATACAAAGACCTGGAAATTGAAATAGAAAAATGTGGAAATTGAAAACAAGAATAATACCAGTGGTAATAGGTGCACTTGGAATTATAAAAATGGAACAAAACAACACATTGAAAGAATCCCTGAAACCCCAGCTTAAGAGACATACAGAAAATTGTCTTATTAAGTACAGCACACACACTAAGGAGAACTTTGTCTATGTAACGCTAGCAACTTCATCGGAGATAAAAAAAAAAAAATAAAAAATTAACATGAAATGTGGCCATAACAACACACCACGACCTGCCTTAGGTCTTTCCGTAGACTTGGTAGGTAGTGTGTCCATAGCAGAAATCGAATGATGATGATGATAATAATAATAAATTTACAGAGTTCTGTTAATTCATGATAACTTTAATGATCAAAAAATTAAAAATTCAATGTGAATCATATGCTGATACCTAGCCCCACAAGAGCGCCTCTCTGTACCTGCTTGCTCTCACACTTTCCCGAGGTGGAACAAGGCGAGTTGGTTCCCTGTGTCGCGCCAAAAATGTTTTTCTCGCCTGAGTTCATCCTTCAAATCTACAAATCAACCATTCGTCCTTGCGTTGAATACTGCTGCCATATATGGTCTGGTGCCATCGCTGTTCATCTCGAGGTCCTCGACAAAACTCCAGGTCCTGATCTGGCATCTCGTCAACAGTCACTTCCCTCTCAGACGTATTGTGGCTTCCCTCTGTCTTTTCTACAAGTATTTGCATGGCAACTGCACTGACGAGCTAATTTCACCGGTTCCCAAACTGCATAAATTTAAGCGTGCTACTAGGCAGGCATCTCGATCCCAAGCCATTCACTGTCAAAACGATTAAATGTAGACGTCTCTTCTACTCCCGCAGTTTATTCTTTCGCACTTCAATCAAGTGAAACTCCCTTCAAACTGCTTCCCTGATAGCGCTAATCTTTAAATATTCAAATATAATGTCAATAGACATCTTCTGATGCCTTGTTCCTGGTGACGATTACTTGAAATGAAGACACCAGATGTGTTGAAACAAAATGGCTATTTTTGTAGTTATGTTATAAAATGTTAATGAATAATTTTGTATAAATAATATATACTCTAAAAAAATATTGAGCACTCTTTTTTAATATAGTGTTTTTTTTATTGGAATTTTATTCCGTCTATACCAATCCTACATTAAATTTTATATATATATATATATATATATATATATATATATATATATATATATATATATATATATTGATATGTTTCATTAAATAATATAGACAAGTGTTTATTTATTTTATGTAAATTCTTTTTCATATCGTCTGATAAGTCTTAATAACATTATCATTAAACGAAGAAAGAAAATCACAATATTGATACATAGTTTTTAATCCTATCTAAGCTTTCGGCTTACATAAGCCATTATCAAAGTTGATAATTACATTAGAATATATTCAGCAATACACGGACAAGACAGTGATGATAGTCTGTTTCTGTTTAGATGGAAGATTTCCCAGCAACGACAAACTCGTGCATATAAGACGCTGGAAGCGAAAATCTCACCGAAGCTCATGACGTCACACATGACCACGCGAGAGGGAAAACGGTAAGTATTAAGTATTGGAAGCTGTTAGTATAAACCAATAACTTCTGTTACCAATTATAAAGATTCAGGTATAATAATGATAATGTTATTAAGCTTATCAGACGATAAAAAAAATTTACATAAAATAAATAGACAATACGTGTTTATATTATTTGATCATGGATCAATGAAAATATTGAACATAAATACAAACAATATATATATATATATATATATATATATATATATATATATATATATATATATTACGATAAATAATAAATCAATTTACAAATTCATTGGAATTATTCACACAAAAACAAAAGAAAAAGGTTAATGATTTAATTGGCAAATTGTCTTTTATTTTGGATTGATTTTATTAAATATATATATAAATATATATATATATATATATATATATATATATATATATATATATATATATATATATATATATATATAATATATATATAAAAACGTTGGAGTAATGGATAGCAACTTGGAAAAGGAATCGGAGATCCTTGTTCGAATTCTAATCTGTTACATTCACTTATGTTCCAATCCTCTTCTTTACCCTCGGTAAATAGCAGAACAGACTGGGTTCTATAGCCTTGGATGGCAACTGGTCTAGGAGAAGGACAACTCTGAATTCAAAACCCGCGGAGGATCGTTTGGAGAGCCAGTGGCACATAGTGCACCAAGTCCCTGTATTTAACCCTTCAAAAAGTGTGACTGGTTCTGCACAAAACCTTCACTATAATCAAATCTCATCTGCTGGTGTCGGGCTGTCAGTTTTTTTGAATTTCGGAGAGTAATAAGCTTCGGAACTGTAACACAAAAAGAATTCAGATAGTTTATTTCGATCGTGCTCCAGCACTTTCGACGCTCAAAAAGTTATTTGACAGATTTCGCCAGAGTTATTTCAACGTAAACGATCAACCACGCCCCGGGCGACCTTCGGACGTCGACGGAGAAGCTCTGTTTACCAACGTGAAGAATAAACCGAACATTTCGACGGAAAAATTTGCTAAGTGTTTGAAAATCGATATCTCGTCATTTGAAGAGAATCAGGTTTTCAGATTTTGTCAAATCGATAAGGGGTGACATTTTACACCCCCGACAACGCAAGACAGCATTTTGCAAAACAGACGTTGCATGAGCTTAAAAAGTTGAAAAGGAAATCAAACTCTCCAGCATCCACCATATTTTCCTAGCTGGGCTCCTTGGGATTTTCATTTGTTACGGTCTCTACGAAACAGTTTAACCCTAGAACACTAACCATCAATTAAAGTTACACCACTACTAACCATGGGTATATCATACCCGATTTTGAAAATATCAAAAAATTATTAAATATAAATCTTTATTTGAAATATTTTACATGTAGGCACTTCAAAGATTGTACTTTGAGTTAACATTAATAGGAACTGAAAAACATTATTTAGGTAAGAAAATCAGGTACTGAAAATTGTAATTAAAATTAGGAAAATTTACGCTGGGTATTATATACCCATGGTTAGTTTTCTAGGGTTAATATTATTATTAACTTATTATTATATTAGTATTATGTACACTATTTACATTGTCATTCGGACTATTGTCCTCATCTTTGTTGCCATATTTATCACAACGTTTCGGTCGCTGTACGCTCTAGTCTTCAGGTAGATGGAATGTCGAAGTAAACCCTTTATTTCGCCCTCTGGGGTAGACGGTTCTAGATCTACACGTCATGTCTAATGGATGTCAGTTATCTCCTGTTAAAATTCTCCACTGCCTTAAACGGGTAATGAACTCATTAACTTTGGGTCCTGTCACTGGATCTAACCAATAATAAAATTTATCCACTGTTAAATGTGTCCTTAATGTGTGTAAGAATTTATGGAACTTATTAACTTAATATCTTCAGCAACCGTTTGTTTACTTGTGCTTATATCGCAATTTTTGCTGTTATCATTAAATGTTTTTTTTACCAGAGCTCATATTGCTATTTTCGTTGTTATTATTGCTTTTCTCTCGCATGTTTTTATTATGGTGGAACTAAAACAGTCTGAAGCCAAAATTTGTAAACTATAAAAAATCAGCAATAATTTTATAAAAGCCACAAAAATCTCCTGGGCCGACTAAGCATAAAAAAAATTAATACAATATGGGAACCAGTAATAAGGATAACTAAAATTAGAAATTGTAAAAAAAAAATAAAAATTAAAATTGCTGGAATGTCTTAGGATTAATTTTGTGGCCTTCAATCAAATATACAATACAGACACACACACACACATATATATATATATATATATTAGATTTGGTGCAAAAATAATTCAATTAAATAATGTCGATTTTGACGTATTTTTAAACGTTAAAAAACGACATTATTTTTTTTTTTAAACGATTTATTTATAAGATTCTATTCATATTATTTTCTAAGATTAACTTGAGAAATTTAAGAATATATCCATCTATCAATCTATCTCTCTTTCTCTCTACCATCTCTCTCTCTCTCTATATATATATATATATATATATATATATACATACCATTTCATATTTCTTTTTCTACAGATTAACTCTGAGAAATTTTTCATATATATCTAAAAAAGAAATCTATCTCTCTTTCTCTCTCTCTCTCTCTCTCTCATCTATATATATATATATATATATATATATATATATATATATATATATATATATATATATATATCATTTCAACGTTTTGACAATTTTTTAAAACAGACGCCCCATTTTTATTAATTAAAACTGTGTATTGCGTCTATATGCCTGTTCATTCGAGAAATTTTTAAAGCAAAAAAAGTAGAAGCGAACCTGTGCTGCAAATATTTTACTTTAGAAAACAGTTTTTCACGAAGGATTTAAATTATGTTACTCTAGTCTCTATTTTTTTTCCTTTTCTTTCCTTCTTTCCTCTCATTTTTTTTCAATCTACTCTTTGACATAATTTATAATTAAAACGTATATAATTCTTTCTTCGAAACATTTTAACTTTCATTTCAATGTCAGTTATAAAAATCTTTCTTTCTTTACTTTCTTCTTCCTTTCTTTCTAAATTATAATTCTTTTTTCTATCTATCAATCAATTAATCTATCTTAAAATTAACAGATTCTTTTCTTTGAAACTGACATTTTTTATTTTCCAATTATATTGTTTGTTTGTTTGTTTGTTTCTTTCTTTCTTTCTTTCTTTCTTGTTTGCTTGCTTTCTATTTTTCGTAAGGGTAACAAATTCATTTCTTTGAAACTGACATCTTTTCCAATTATATTCTTTCTTTCTTTCTTATTTTTTCTTTCATAATGGCAATAAATTCTTTTCTTTGAAACTGTCATCTTTTCTTTTCCAAGTATATTCTTTCTTTCTCTCTTTCTTTCTTTCTTTTTTTTCCTTTTTTCGTAATGGTAACAAATTCTTTTCTTTGAAACTGTCATCTTTTCTTTTCCAAGTATATTCTTTCTTTCTCTCTTTCTTTCTTTCTTTTTTTTCCTTTTTTCGTAATGGTTTTAAATTCTTTTCTTATAAATTGTCATCTTTTCTTTTTCAAAGTTTTCTTTCTTTTCTTTCTCTTTTTTTCATTTTTTTTTTTTTTTCGTAATGGTAACAAATTCTTTTCTTTGAAACTGTCATCTTTTCTTTTATTTTATATTCTTTCTTTCTTTATTTCATCAATTTTTTTATTTCTCATTTTTTTTTCTTTTTTTTATTTTTTTGTAATTGTTTTTCTTTTTTGAAATTTCATCTTTTCCTTTCCAAGTATATTCTTTCTTTCTTTCTTTCTTTCTTTCTTTTCTTTCTTTCTTTCCTTTTTTCGTAATGGTAACAAATTCTTTTCTTTGAAACTGTCATCTTTTCCTTTCCAAGTATATTCTTTCTTTCTTTCTTTCTTTCTTTCTTTCTTTCTTTCTTTTTTTTTTTCTTTTTTTCGAAAATGGTTTTTTGAAATTTTGAAACTTTCATCTTTTCTTTTCCAAGTATATTCTTTCTTTCGAGTTTTTTCTTTCTTTCTTCTTTTCTTTCCTTTTTTTAATTTTAACTTTTTCTTTTTTTGGAAATTGTCATCTTTTCCTTTCCAATGTATTTATTCTTTCTTTTTTTTGAAATCTTTCTTTCTTTAATGGAGATTTTTTTTTTTTTTATAATCGTAACAAATTCTTTTCATTGAAACTGTCATCTTTTCCTTTCCAAGTATATTCTTTCTTTCTTTCTTTCTTTCTTTCATTTCCATTGTTGAGGTGCTCTCCAATTATTTAAAGCATGATTTGCAAAAATAAATAAATAAATAAAACATAAAAATGCAAAAGTAGAAACAAACACATGTTGTATTCCTTGTTTCTTTTTTTTTTTTTGTTCTCTGCGTTCAATTATTCCTCGTTATTCTTCGAAAAAAACAAATTTCTTCATTTTATAAATAAATAAACAATACAAATGGACGTTTTTCATAAAAATTTCTTTCTTTCACTTAAGAGCAGGAAAAATAAATCTATTAAATATATAAAGCGAGAAAAACCTAACAAAAAAATAAAAAAAAAAAGACGATATCCTTGGCTCAAACCAGGAATTCGGTTTAAATAGGACAAAATGTGATACCAGAATGATACCATGAATCTAATTCAATGTATTTTTTGTTTGTTTTTATTAATATTATTTCCAAACAGTATATTTTCAATTTTTCTTTCATCTCCACATTGTGTCTTTTTGGCGTTTTGCGTCGCAAGAACAAATCATTTCTTCGAATAAGTAAAAGGTCTTGCTGAAGTGGTTGTTCGCCGGTAAATATTTGACAATCTTCATTACTAAATAAGTAATTGTCTCTAATTGGGATATTTTGGCAATTATTCCATGAATTCCTGGAAAAGTTTTAATTTTGAAATGATAATATCCCAAGGCAGAGAATTTTTTTCAAAAAAAATTCAATGGGAGTTTGCGTTTTTTTCTTTGGAAAGGTTATTAATTGAGCGTATAATTGGTTATGAGTATTGCTGGTGTGGTTTATATTTGATTGTTTATAGATTACATATACAAATATATTAAAAAAAACAACACATATATTTAAAAGCCGGCAGATAATGTTGTAAACACAATAGATAATCATGACATGTACACATACATTCAATATACAGACCCAAATACACACACACATATAATAAACAATTTAACAACAAAATAAATATTGGTTTTTGAAAAATTATTTAAAATATATTCCATATTAATATTTGAATTAATAAACAGACAAAATTTTTAAAACACATATAATAAAAATACAATTATTTTTTTTTGAAGAGAAAATAAATAAATTTGCAAAATCCGTCACTAAAGAAAAAAGTAGGGATAGAAAAAAAGAAATAAAAATAAAAAGAATATAAAAGAATATAAATATAAAGGAAAATAAAAACCTACTTTATTAAAAAAGAAAAAATTAGAAAGCGATTTGAAAAATTATTTAAATGTTATTTTAAAAAAAGAGAGAGAAAAATTATTTTTCAGTTATTGAAAAGACAAAAAGAGAATAGAGAAAGAAATTTCCAAAAGATGAAAGAAAGAAAGAAAAGTTTAAAGAGAGAAAGAAAAAAGCGAGGGAAAAGAAATAGAAAAAAAGAAAGAAAAGAAAGAAAGAAAGAAAAGAAAAGGAAAAAAAATTTAATAAGAAATATTTTTTAAAAGAAGAACAGAGAAAGAGAGTCAGAGAAATAATTAAAAAGTAGGTTTGTAAAAAAATTCCGATTCGGAAAGAAAAAAATTTATACAATATGAATGTCCTGTTTTATTGAAAAAGAAAGAAATATAGATTAGAATAAAAAAATTTTATATAGAAGCTAGAATTTGATGATATGAGAAAAAGAAAATTTAAGCGAGAGAGAAATAAAGAAAGAAAAGTGAAAGAAAGAAAGAAAGAAAGAAATTTTAAAAGAGAGGAGTGAAAGAAATTAAAGTCTTTAAAAGAACCATAGAAAAAAAAAATATATTTAATTAGAAAAAAGAAAAGAAAAAAAGAAAGAAAGAAAAATAAATATTTGAAAAATGTTTTAATTTTGAAAAAAATTAACTTGAAAAAAAGAAAAAAAAAGATTATAAAATATTTTAAAAAATAAAAAAGAAAAAAAAAGAGAGAAAAAATTATTAAAAAAATAAATAAAAAAATAAATTAAAAAAAATAAAGAAAAATATTTCAAAAAAAAAAGAAAGAGAAACATTGGAAAAAACATTGAGAAATAAAGAAAAAAAATAAGAGATATGAAAAAATAAAGGAAACCATTATAAAAATTTCCAAAAAATCAAAAGAAAGAAAAGAAAGAAAAAAGAAAGAAAGATATTTTATATTTATACACGGGCAATTATCTGCAAACATACCTTTCTGTCAGCTAATTTCCCGCCAATTTATATATTAATCTACCTATCACTGCAATGGTATTAAAATATAGGCCTTTCATTTTTTTCAATATCAGCGAAAAGTTAGCGATAGAAAATTTAAAATTATTTTTCTCTTTCATTATCTCTTAAATTTTAGAATATCTCTACGCTCCTATACACAATATCTTTATCAATGAACACACACACAAATATATATATATATATATATATATATATATATATATATATATATATATATAATATATATATATGTATATTTTTAATTAAAAAAACAGACCACTTTTTTTTCCATGTAATAAATTATTTCACCATTTTTTTTTAAAGGGATCTTGATCATTGTTTACAACATCCAAAGGAATACAGAATTGTAAAATGGTACATCTAGGATACGGAATTGAACACTAATCTAAAGACTCATGTCTTTCTCTTATAAAATTTTGTCTATCGTTAGATTCGCCTCCCCACTCACTTCCTCATTTCGTTAATTTTACATATGCTTAATATGCACCTTGAAAAAAAATGTGTAAATTTATTTTTTTTCATTTCCACTTATTTATAAATAATATGATGATCCAGATCTTATTAAAAGGGCCGTGAAAAAATTTATGAACATGGAAAAATAAAGTGGTCTGTTTTTATTCAAGGAATATTTTAATTGAATTTACATTGAATCTCCACATAAAACCATATAATTTAAAAAAAAAACCCATACGGATTTAAGTTTTTATATAAACTATATATATATATATATATGTATTAAAATATATATTTGTGTGTATGTGTGTGTGTGTGTGTGTGTGTACTTTGACTCTCCCGTCGAATTCAATATGTAAAAGTTAAGTCCAAGCCAATCCAAAACTAAGGGACAAAATTTTAAAACCTAATATTTGTTAGAAATAACAACTGTGAAAAGCTGAAATTTTGACAACTGGTAGTCGTTGTCATCCATAATAACATACTAAAATTTGAATCATTTGCAAAGGATAGAAAAAGAATTATAACAATTATTTATTTATTTTCAAATTTGGAACGTCCAAAAGTAAGGGACAAAATTGAGAAAAACAATGTAAACGGCAAAAAAAAAACAATAAAAATACATGTACAATCAATATTTAGTAAATGAGCCCTTGCTCTCAATGACAGCTGCACATCTTCGACTACAAGAACGAATCAGTTCTTGACAATCCTCGATACTAATTTTAGACCATTCTTCTTGAAGCTTCACCCACAAATCCTCCGTGTTAGTGGGATTTCTTTCCATAACTTTCACTCCTAAGGTCTTCCAAAGATTTTCTATTGGATTTAAGTCAGGACTTTGCGGTGGCCAATCCATAATTTCCAAATCTTGCTCGCTAAGGTAACTCATTACCACCTTTGCCTTGTGACATGGGGCATTATCTTGCATAAAGGTAGCCCTATCGAAACCTGAATTCTGTATGATTGGCACAACATGATCTTGAACAATGTTTTTATAGATCTGCGCGTTTACACGAGTTTGTAACCGGACAAGAGGCGTTGTACCTTGGCTAGAAAACATTCCAAATACCATGACGCTTCCGCCCCCAAACTTGACAGTTTTCTTAGTACACTTTGCACTTAATCTTTCACCAATACGTCTCTTTACATTGTTTTTTCCATCATTTCCAAATAAATTAAACTTGCTTTCATCACTGAAAAAATACTTTTGCCCAATTTTCATATGTCCAAATTACATACCTGTTTGCAAACTCTAATCTCTTCTTCTTATTCTTCGAACTAACAAGTGGTTTCTTCCCTGGGGTTCGATTAAACAGCCCTATTTCTTGCAGTCGTCTACAAACAGTCTGTCTTGACACATTAACACATGAGGTACTATTCATAACCCTTTTTAATTTCTGTGCAAGACTTAAAACGGTCCTTTAATGACATACGCTGCATTATTCGATCTTCTCTTGCCGAAGTTTTGCGGGGTCTGCCGGTTTTAAAAGCACTAACTATTTTGCCAGTATCATTGTAGGATTTAACAACCCTGCCTACAACACTCTTGGAACGTTTCACTTTCTCTGAAATCTCTCTAATGGTGTGCTTTTCCTTGTGTAGCTTCACAATAGCTTGTCTCACAGAGTAATCAAGTTTTTGGCGTTTCGCCATGGTGCCGGCTGATGCAACGTTTACAAATGACTAAGTAAGACTTATTCTTTAGAGGAAATCAAAAATTTGAATATAGCATACTGTTTACATTGTTTTTCTCAATTTTGTCCCTTACTTTTGGACGATCCTATTTTGAAAATAAATAAATAATTGTTATAATTCTTTTTCTATCCTTTGCAAATGATTCAAATTTTAGTATGTTATTATGGATGATAACGACTACCAGTTGTCAAAATTTCAGCTTTTCACAGTTGTTATTTCTAACAAATATTAGGTTTTAAAATTTTGTCCCTTAGTTTTGGACGCTACTGTATATATATATATATATATATATATATATATATATCAATATATATATATCCATATATAAAAACCAATTTCTTTTGAATTTATCTTTTGGATTTAATAATCGATGATCCAGAATACTTTTAAATAAAAATTATAATGAAATGGTGCATTATTCTTGGAATCAAAAAACTTTTTGACTCATCCGTCGTATTTTTTGAAAAAAACAATATATATATTCAC